GTGGAGGCTGCTGTCTTGTCGTCCGCAGCACCTGTAGTCCGGGGCGCACTGTCCTGGTAGCTCAGAGAGCCTGCTGCACCTGTTGCCCGTGGGTCCGTTGCTCCTGCCGCTCGTCGCAGCCGCAGAGCCTGTTACTCCTGTATTCCGGGACGCACTGTCTCGGTAGCCACTGAGAGCCTGCTGCACCAGTCGCCCGTGGGTCCGTTGCTTCTGCCGCTCGTCGTAGCCGCAGAGCCAGTTACTCCAGTATTCCGGGGCGCTCTGTCTCGGTAGCCACTGTGTCAGCCGCCACTGTGTCAGCCGCTTCTGTTGCCCGTGTGTCTGCAGCTTCAGTCGTCGCCTCCCATCTTCTCTCCTTTCATAGTCCCTCCTCCTCCTCACTTGCCCTCTGCTTTGCTGATAATTATGAACTATTGCTATGACTGCTCATTGTGCTGATTACACCCCACTTTGGCTATGGGGGTGTGTCAGAATATGTTGTTTGTGTAGCCTGCAGTGGGGTACTCTATAGTGAGTACAGCCCCTTAGGGTTTGCCATTTGTATCCTGCTGCTTGCTAGTTCAATCATTCCTTCTCAATTCTGTTCCTGCACACAATCCTAGCTCGTACTTGGCTCCTCGTTACTAGTCCTACTGTGGCCTAGGCTACTAAGCCTAGGCCGTACTCCTACTTCTTCTGACACGTCATACCCCGGATATAAGCGCCACCCGCGGATTAGCGCCTGGCACTTTTAATTGGCGTGTGGCGCTTATATCCGGTGCTCGATTATAAGCGCATACCTAAAAGGCTTACGAATTATAACCGCATACCTGTGCCTTACATTTTATAACCGCCACCCAGTTTTTTTTTTTTTTTTTTTTTCATTTGAAGACCTATTACATAATTAGTATACTAAAACATCATGTTAATTACTCTACAACTACTTAATCTACTCCTACCTACGAGCCTCACACAAGCTTAACCATTTTCTACACTAGTTAATCTACCCTACTCTAATCATCAGCTGCAGTGGGGTCATCTGGGTCGGCCTCAGAGTCCGACTCAGGTTCCTCTACGTTGTTGCAGAAGAAACCGTGTGCTGCAATTTCATCATCCATGTCCACCTCCTCGCCCTGGAGCTCGTCTCGCCTGTGTTGCAGGCAGAGCTTGTCCTGGGACCCATCCAGGGCGTTGCTGATGCCGCAGGTGAGGAACGCCCGTTGAATGAGCTCCTTGGGCACGGACTTCCAGGCCGCCGAGATCCACTTGAGCGTCAGCTCGACAGGAGGCTTCTTGATGTTGCCTGCCACGCAAATCCAGAAACCGGGTCAGCACGGGTTAAAGAAATAAAAACATACAGAAGAGCTGCACCTCTCACCTTTCTTCGTCAAGGTGTCGACCCCTTCACGCTCAAACCACTCCTGGTAGAGCTGGCGAACGGCAGCCTTGAAGGAGCGGTTAACCGCGACGTCGAGGGGTTGAATCTCCGAGGTGCAGCCAGCAGGGATAACCGCAGGGACCAGGTTCAGCTCGCCAAACTTCTTCTTCACCTCCGGGGTCAGGTGCCCGCGGTACGAATCGAGGACGAGCAGAGCTTTGCGGGGGCGGACTCCGAACTTGGGGTTGATGTACGGCTTCACCGCCCCGTCCAGCCACTCGATGACACCGTCCGCGTCCATCCACCCGTTGGGATGGACCCCCACGTGGATATCTGCACAGCAACAAAACCACGATGTTAGTTAAAATTTTTAACTGACATCGACATGCCACCGCATAATCGACGTGTGGTGCATACCTGAAGGGAAATCTCCTTTGGGGACGGTCTTCCTTTTGAAGAAGACCCAAGGCTTCAACTTCTCCCCGCTGGCGGTGCAGGCGAGCATCACTGTAACCCGCTCTTTCTGGTAGCCACCGCTGCGGACGGGCACGGAGCGCGAGCCAACCTCTTCAACGGTGCGTTCGGATGGCATCTCGAGCCAGAGGGGCGTCTGGTCCGCGTTTAGAATCCACGGCAGGTCGATCTTGTACTGCCGGCGGGAGTGACGCACGTACGTCCAGAAGTTCTTGACTTCTGTCTCGCAGTCTGGGACACGGTATGGGAGGAACAGAAAGCACAAACACAGAGTGAGAGCCGTGAATAGACGGGAATAGACAAACAACAATACCACCAAATAACAACTCACTGGACAAGAGCTTCTGGCCGACCCGGGTCTTTGCTCTGGTCGTCAGGTTCCAGCGGCGGCGAAAGCGCTGAGTCCACCGCTGAGAGCCGGCCCACTTTTCACCTGGGTGTAACTCTTTCATCACCTCGTGCGACCACTTCTGCAGTCGTGCGATCGAGACGGCAAGGCACTTCTTGCGGTGGGCGAGAAACCTCCGGTACACCTCCGCTTCCATGTCGCGATACCACGAGCTCCTTCCGCGGCCGTGCAGGCGACAGCGTGCACCGTGCGCGCCCTCAAGCTCACCCTTGCGGTTCTTCCACTCCGTGAGGCACCTTCGGGAGATGCCGGATTCGCGAGACATGCGCCGCACACTCATCTCTCCGGCTTCGAGCTTCAGAATCCATTGCAGCTTCTCATGCGACGTGTAGGAATTGCGCCTGTGCTTTGTCGGCTTGTGCCTGGGGGAGGGAGGACGGGCATCACGATTATCGCGAGATGGGTGGGGCCTTTTTTTATTCGGAGGGGGAAAGGAGGGAATTGGAAGGTGCTCGGGGAGACCGTCAGCAGCCCAGAACTCCACGTCGTCGTCCGCACCGGTAGCGGATTCGTCCAACGGGCAATCAGCCGGCGCTCCCCATCGTGGCTCCGGTGCGGAGGAAGATCCTTCGCCGCCGCTGCGTTCAGGCTCGGACAGGAAGGCGTCGAACGCCGAGTAGCCAGGGGGGAGGAGAAGCTGCAGAACCCCCTGTCGTGGAACAACAACAGCAGGCGGGACGGGAGGGGCCGGAGGAACGGGAGGAATAGGAGGCGCCGGGGGAGCGGGAGGGGTAGGAGGCGTAGGAGGCGTGGGAGGAACGGGAGGCACTACTGGTTGTGGTGGAGGGACGGGCGCAGGGCGCGTCTGCCATCGAGAGTAGTCACGAGTGTCTCTGCGGGTATTTTCTCTAGCAGCAGGTTGGCGGCGGAACAAGAAATGCGTGCCTGGAAGGCCCGCCATGGCCACGGCAGGCCAAAACGAACGAAGAAAACTGAACCAAAAGTTGGGAATGAGGGCCGTATGAAGCCCTCGCCCGAGACCCCTTCAGTTTCGCGGCCCGGCCTCCTCTGCGGGGAAAGTGTGGCCACAGTCAAGATTCCCCGTAGAGGAGATGAAAGGGACAGCTCTTTGCCTCGGTGGCAGGTAATCTTGCTGTTGATGGGCACGTCGTGGCTGAACCACGACGTGCCCACGATCGCATGCAACCCTGATTGGGCCGCTGTTATGCGAAGTACGTGTGCCCTGGCATGGGCCAGGTTCACGTTCGATGAACCTGGCCTGGCCAACAAGGCGTGGAAGGCGTGATGCCACGCCTTGTTGGCCGTTTCACGCGCAAAGCATGCACAGAGTCGAACGTTCTCGACTCAGGTGAATCCGCCTTTGAGAATGCTTCGATTTGGTATATTTAAAAACCAATTTCATTTTTGACATAACATAAACGCCAGCGCTTATAATTTTACTATATTATAAGCCCACCCCCTAAAAAAAACATGTTTTATTAGTGCCCCCCATGGGGGTATATCCGGGGTATGACGGTACCAATACTCTTGCTTCCCTGCCGATACCACTACAAAGCCTGCTCCAGCTTACAAAGCCTGCCCCAGCAGCAGCAGCAGCAGCAAGTAGTTCTATCACATTGATGCTTGTGCTGTTCTCCTTTATCGCCCCCCTTTTCTTTAATGGTTGCTTATGGGACTACTTTACGGGAGCTTTTCCGTTGTTGTACTTGTATTGAGTGCCAAATCCGTGAAATGTGCCCTCTGATTTTTGTGGAATTCGTATTGGGCGTGATAAGGCCCCCACCCATTCTATTCAGGTGTTTCTGTACTATGCACAATGATATTGAACGTTAGTTGCTCGAAAATGTACCATTATATTGTTGTTGAACCCTCACTTGTATAGGCAGCTGATTACAATAACCTCGTTATAGGGTGACGAGGAGTCCTCAAACCACATAACCGTGTCGCATTGATATTTTTGTTGGGTTCTGTTCTGTATGCGGCCTTTTTTCCCTCATGCGCGCTTCGTATGAATTTGTCATTTACACGTTTCGCTCACACATTCGTCGAGCCTCGTGGTTCAGGGTGAGACGCTGTTATGATTGGCAGTGAAATCAGAGTGTTCAAAGACCGTCAGGCGACTTCGGCAAAGCTTATCGCAAGGCGAGATCAGGCGTCATGTTCGAAGTGGGGCCGTGCACCACTCTGACACCATCCACACAGGATGAGTCTAGACCGTCGATCATCGCAAAAATGTGAAGCATTGAGGACGAGAGTGATTTTTCGAGATTGACGGATGACTCAATAAATTTGATCGGAGGTGCACGTGCGGTGAGAGCCCTCGTGAGTTCTGGTAACAGGCGTAATCTGGATTCATGCGCTTTCCGCCTCTTGATGTGTGATGGACTGGAAGACGGCCGTCGCACGTAAGTTTTCACCTACGGCCAGACTCGAGCGACCTTGATTGTGCGGATTGAAATTGAATACTCAAATATGTCTGGGATGACAGAACAATGCTGTAGTGTCCGACACTACGGCATTTTTCTGTAGTCTGGTATTCGTAGTTCTTATGCCGTTCAAACACCCATGACTAAAGCTTAGTGGCTTCGATTTTTTTGCGGAACTGGTTGGAATAACAAACTTCCAATTCGTCCATTACTTGAAGCAGCGTCTCCTCAAAGCCTGGGCCGATTTAAATCTTCCAGCCATGTACGGCTCAGTCATCCAGTGACATCGCGGAAACGGAATCTGGCCGGAAAGTTTCCGTTTCGGAAACGGAAAAAGGCCGAAGGTTAAGCCTACGAGGTTCCGAACAAGTTGATGGCGCTTGCGTTGCGAAGTCCGAGTCGCGCAGCCTCCACGTGCATTTTCCTCCTCGCAACAGCACTCTTTTCCAGCAGCGACCACTTCGCACAAATTTCCACCGCTGACGCCGCTGCGGACTCCGCTGAAGGCGGCGGTGGCGGCGGCGGCGGCGCTGCCGCCATTTCCCTTCCCGAGTCGCTCTCCTCCTACTCCAACTTGGCGTTGCTCGATCCGCGCCTCGAGCTCCATTGGACCGTCAACGACAGCGATGCGACTATCCGATTGGCGGTTCGAGCTAACACGGCAGGATGGCTCGCTATAGGCATCTCCGAGATTGGCTCCATGGTTGGCTCAGGTACGAAATTCATGGGTCCGCACTGTTTTCTGTGTTTATTTTCCACGGAATCAAAGAGATTCATGTTCTTGATTTTCACCCTTTTTTCTGTGTTTTTTCTTTGATTCGTTCTCTCTCTCTCTCTCTCTCTCTCTCTCTCTCTCACACACACACACACACACACACACATACACACACACACACATACACACTCACTCTCTTTTTTTCGGTGCTTCAATCCAATACTTTTTATCCAGACGTGCTCGTGGCGTGGGTGGCGGAAAAAGAGGGACGCGTGTACGCCACGGATTGCTTCATCTTCAACACCAACACCGAACCCACACTAGACTCCAACCAAGACTGGCACGTGCTGGGCGGCAGTCAAACCACAAATCAATCCACGGGCGACACGTGGACCACCGTGCACGTGTGGCGCCGGCTGGACACGGGCGACTGCAACGACCGCCCTATCATCTCCGGGAAGCTTCACAACATCATCTGGGCGACAGGCCCCACAGATGACGTCAGCTATCATGGCTCCACACGAGGGGGTGCCGCCCTGGTGCTCGCTCCTACCCCTGGCCCCACCATTCTTGAACCCCCACAACCGCCCTCAACCGCTTCTGCCGCTGCTGTGTTTAAATCGATTCGAGGTTCTGGGCGTTTGGCCGTACAACAGAAAGCAGTGGGGGGGGAGGAGGCTGAGGCGCGCGTGCTTGAGTTTACTGTGAAGGATTATCCTGTCCCCATGGACCGCTCCTCCTACCGCTGCATGGTACGACCTTGCAATGTGCCACCCTGCACGGCACGACCGAATTGTGCCAGTGCTAGTAGTTGCTGCGTGTGTGTCTGGCACGCGTTTCGAGACGCGTCACATGCTCGTGGAAAATGCGTGGCGCTGTGATCATATATGGCGCCGCCCATTCATGTGTAGCACACTCATCTGGGTGGCAATTTGTGGCCCCATCTGTAACTTGCGCCGCCAATTCACATGCCCCTTGCGTGCACGGCAGGTGATAGACGCGCCTCTGGAGAGCAAGCAGCATGCGGTGGAGTGGGGGCCGGTCATCAACACCACCCATGTCTCCTCCCTCCACCACGCCTTCCTTTATGGCTGCTCCTCGTGAGTCCATTCTTAAGGTGCCCGGCCACACACACCCAAGCATGTGTGGTTACCACAGTACAATCCATTGTGGTTTTCAGCAGCGCTGTGTGATTCAATCCAGCTCAATTGCAGTGGTTCTTTTCGTCATAAGCCTGCAACCACACACTCATCGTTGCTCCACCACCCTCTACCCAAAATCCAAGATCCACTCATGCGGTGCAACTACCACATGTCTTTCACCTCATCTCACCTCCTCTCACCTCTTTCCACCTCTCCTCACCGCGTCCCATACCCCTCTTCCCAACAGAGAGGAGTACCCAGACCTTCTCCCAGCGGGAATGGTCTTTGACTGTGTGGGGAGGGCCCCTTGCAGCACGTTCGTGGCTGTGTGGGCATGGGGAGGGCGCCCCTTCACCTTCCCCCACAACATCGGCTACCCCATCGGCCCCGGCTACTTCACCAAGTTTGTGCTAGAGGTGGGGTGCAGTCTGGTCCAGCGCGGTTCTATGCAATGCAGTGGGGTTTCAGTGCGTTTCCACACGGTTTGCTGCGGTTCAGTGCGGTTCTGTGCGATGCAGAACGATGTCACCCCACTCCTGTCACCCCACAATCTACTCGAGCGTCTCTGCCTAATTCATCCCCCTCCCCTCCCTCTGTGGCAGTCCCTCAAAGTCACCACACAAACACCAAGACTTTCTTCCATAACAACACCGTCGCCCTGTCCCTCCTTTTCCACCCCTCCCCTCCCTCTCCCTTCCCCCTCCCCCTCCCCTCCCTCTCCCCTCCCCCTCCCGTCCCCCTCCCCTCCCCTCCACGCGAATCCCTCAGATGCACTATGCAAATCCTGAGGGTCGCAGCGACATGATCGACAGTTCCGGGGTGTACCTAAAACTGGCGGCATCGCCGGGTTTCAAGGACGCTCACATCATGAAGGTCGGCATGGTGGACCACACCCGGCTCATCCGCATCCCCCCCGCCATGCCCTCTTGGACTCACTCCAATTCCTGCCCGGGCGAGTGCACTGCTGCGGTGTTTAAGAATGAGAGTGTGAAGATCATTGGGTCGATCCTCCACGAGCATAACATTGGCCGCCAGGTGGGATGCTTTTTTGTTTTGTTTTTAAGCGTCGTCGAGGTCAGGTGGGATTCTTTAAGCATTGTTGTTAGTAAAGTGCTGGTAAAAAATCACCGCTTCATGCTTATTATCACCGTCAGGTGATGCATCAGGTAGGAGGTGAAAGGTGAAGCATCAGGTGGGAGGCGTCAGGTGAAGCGTCATGTGGGAGGCTTCAGGTGAAGCATCAGGTGACTTTTGAGTCGACTCAAACCACCGCTGATGAAGCATCAGGCGGGACATCATTTTACAACAGGACATCATGCTTTCACCTCATGCTTTCACATCATGCCTTCACACCATTCCCGCCTTCCTTGTTGCAATTCCCATCCCTCCTGTGCTCGGATCGCCTCTTCAGATGTACTTAAATGTGCTCAGGGGGGGCAGAACGGTTACAAACATCAACCGCATTGACTACTAGTGAGTTCTTTGCCCTCTTTCACCCCACCACCGCTCCCTTACACCCAACCATCAACTTCCTTGACCTGCATTGACTACTAGTGAGTTCTCCTTCCTCTTTCCCTCCCTAATCTCATCTCTCCCTGCTTCCTCCTCCTTCCTTCCTCTCTCCCATCCCCATCAACTCCCCCTTTCTCCCCTTCCCTAACCTTGAACCATGTCTGCGTGGCAGTGACTATGCATCGCAGCAGACCATGCCGGTGCAGCCCGAGTTTGAGCTGCTGCCAGGGGACGAGATCCGCACCACCTGCGTGTGGGACTCCACCTCTCGCTCCGACGTAAGCATTGTGGGGGTTTCAAGATGCCTCAAAGCCAGAGGTAACTATTTTACAGGCGTGTTTGAGGGAGTTGAGCTGCTGCCAGGGGATAAGATCCGCACTGCACCACCTGCGTGCGGGACTCCACCTCTCGCTCTGAGGTACCAGATTCTGGGTCTTGAGACTTCTAAAACCTCTGGTAACAGTGTTCCCGGAATTCTCCTCTCGCCCCAATGTAACAATCTTGGGCTCTCGAGACTTCTGGAACCTCAAAGAACAATGCTCAAGGCGCCTCAAGATTTGTCTGATTGGGGAAAAAGTTGCCTCCGTGCTCTTCCTCTCTCTCTCTCTATCTCTCTCTCTCTCTCTCTCAAATGGTCCTTTGTATTAATTCAGCGGCGGTACAAGCATACGGTTTGATTTGTGGTTCCCTTTAGACCCTCTGCCCCATTGGCCCATCCCTCTGACCCTCCCCCCCCCTCAGTGACCCTCTACCCCTCCAGCGTGTGGAGGATGTCCCCCAGGTGCAGCGGCCATGGGTCTGCTGCCATCTGGGGGTGCGCCGCCTCGATCCCTGCCCTGGCCTTGGTGTGCAGGGCATTCGCTTGAGAGCGCTGGAGGGCCACTGACCAGCGCTGGCTGAAGTGGCAGGCTATTTTCTTGGCGGTTTTCGCCAAGGGATTGGCCCTGAAGCGGTTCCTAGCTGCTGCTGTGGCCAGCAGCTTCAGGAACGCCGTCGTGGGGGGTGCGTTTGCCCCATAGGTCTCAACGGCTAGGGCGCAGAACACCACGTGTTCTGTGTGCCTGTAGTAGTCCCGTTCCTTCCTTTTCTGAGCCTCCCTTGCAGCCCATCCAGGGGGTTTGCGGGCTGCTGGGTCACGGTTCTGTAGCACGGGGTCAGTGATGGTCGTGTCTGTGATCCAAGTTTCACCACTGTCTGGGTCGCGTACAATCACATCTGCCTTCTTCGGGTCATCCGGTGGTGAGTACATCGCGTTCTCCAGGTATACCACCAGCTGTGCCTCCCTCGCCATTTTAGCCACGGCGAAAGCCAGCTGGTTGTGTGTGCGTGTTCGGTCAGGGCCTGTGCTGCAGCGGAGTAAGTGGTTGGGGAGGCTGCAGTCGGCTACGAGCTCTCCACACTCGCACACGGTGGGTACGTTCTGTCGGATGCCCATGCGGAAGGCCAGGGCTGTTCGGAATTGCCCTGGTGAAAAGCAGAGATCTGGGGTTAGGGGTAGGGCCTGCAGCCATGCCCCCGCTCCCTCACCTCTCAGGTTGACGAGGCGGAGTGTGTGCCCCATCTCGGGGGCAGACCTGATTGCGCGTGATTCCTCTGTCAGGCCGTCGGCTTTTGCCGCATGTACTTCCTGGGAAAGGGCGCGCTGCAGCTGGTCTTGGGACGGGGATTCCTGTTCCCCGCGGAGGATTTGCAGTGCCAGTGGTGGCAGTCGTCCCTCCATGTCTTGGATGGTGACCGAGTGTGCTGCCGACGGCTGTAGGGCGTTGCTGTTGCTCCCTAGCGCCGAGGTTCCTGGGAGGTCAAGTGAGCGGAGTAGGCGTAGCGCCTCTGTTGTCGAAGCCAGGTAGGCTGGTGCTGCTTCTGTTGTGGGGTCCGTGAGGCCTAGCCCACCCAGGGCTGCTGGGAGGGTTGCTTGGCGAAGTAGGAAGTTGAACTCTGTGTCACGGCGGGGTGGTTGGATGCTGGCGGCAGTTAAGGCAGTGTTGAGCAGTTCGGCGCACCACGTATGCCATTCCGAGAGAGGTAGGACGTCTGCTGGGGTGGTGCGCAGCAGGTAGCCTATTCTGCGGCTGATGCAGCGAGATAGGAGCAGGAGGGTATGCTGTGGATGGATGGATGCTAAGGAGCCCAGGGGTGCCGCCGCGTCGGTCAAGGTACTGCGGACGAGGTCAGCGCAGAAGCGCTGTGACCCCACAGGGCTTCCTAACACCCGTACCCCCTCGTGGGTGAGGGGAAGGCCCTCGGGGAGCTCATTACCTTCGATCGGCGAGGAGGACCATGCCGACGATTTTCGGAGGTTGCAGGTGAGGCCGTCCTGGGCTAGCAGCGGTGTCAGTACCTTTAGTGCGCCTAGCGTTGCTGTCGCCGGTCCAATCAGGGTGATGTCATCTACATATGCTAGGACCGTGACTTCGGGGTGCTCTGTCGCTACGCGTCTGAGGTGCTGCTGGATTGAAGCCGCGAATAGAAGGGGTCCGAGGGGGTCCCCTTGCCTAACTCCCCTACCACTGGTGAGTGCCGTTGTGCTCAAGCGGGGATCGGTCAGCAGCTGTGAAGGTGTCGCGTAGAAGGAGCGTGTGAAGGGAATGAGTGGGGCGAGCGAGGTGTTGGTGAGTGCGTTAAAGAACGCTATCCTTTCTACGGAGTTGAATGCGTTTTCGATGTCGAGTTGGAGGACTAGGCTTGATGGGTGTGAAGTGGTGAGGTCTCTGACTGCGTGGATAACGAACTCGGCCCCGCCTGGGACTGCCACGCCGAATTGTTGGGGTAAGAAAAATCGCCTTGACTCTCCTTGCATTTCGGAGAGTGCTACCTTTGCTGCCAGCCGGAGCAGGGATTCCCCTATCGCTATAGGGCGTACCCCCCCCCTGGTTTCGCGAAGGCAATGAGGCGGGATGGCGAGAGTAGTGCTGCAACCTCGGCGGAGAGGTTTGTCGAGAGGAGGTGGGTTACGGCGGAGTGCAGGTGCCCTAGTACTTCGATGTTACTTAGGGCTGGGTCGCGGTAATGTTCAAATGTTGACCCAGATGGACCAGCCCCAACACCGCTGGGGCAATCCCCAAGGACGTTTGAGAAGTTTTCCGCGGTGCACGAAAATTGCGTGGGTGTTGTGTAGGAGTGGACCCAGTCGGGCAGGTCAATTTGGGGTTGGGGATGTTTCGATTCCAACTGCTGTAGTGTCGTGGTTGTCGCAGGGGCTGCTGGCGAGGGTTGGAGGGCTGCCAGTGCTTTTCGTAGGTTACCCCGTTTCGCCAGCCCCTCCACTCGTGAGCAGATTCCCAGGGGGTCATTTTGGTGCTGAGGTGGTTCGGCTTGGTGCAGGGACCCCGTGTAGTCACTGTACAGCTGGTTCCAGTGGCCACATCTGAATAGGTGCATTTGTTCTCGCAGCACCTTCCACCTAGAGCTGGACCTCCTGCTAAGTCGTAGGGTCAGACGTGGCAGGAACATGAGGACCCGCCAAGCTCCCGCGCAGTTTGGCAGCTTGGAGATCCGTAGGAGGGCTGCCAGCATACAGGTGGAGTAGTCGCTTAGGATCTGCGGCGGCAGGCGGCGGACGATAGGCAGGTGAGAGGTCGACGTTAGGGTAGTCAAGTCCCAGCTCATCGCGATCTCAAAGAGATCATCCCTCGATGCCAGCTGGGACGCCGAGAGGGCCTGGTCCGGGGGGGGTTGGGGTCTGCGGTTCTGTTGGCGGCCCGATCCTATCTCCTGCAGCTGCGCCTGCTCCGCCCCCGCTTCCGCGCGGGGTGAGTCGGGATTGTCGAGTTGCCTCAGATCCGACGGTACATATTCGTCGCCACTCCCCTCAGCATTTGTATCACCAGTTCTCCCTGCTTGCGCTGTCCTTCCACCTCTCGCCCCGCGCCTGGCGAACGACTCGCGCGTGACTCGTTCCGCCGGCTCCCCCAACCAGATTGGGCTCGGCGGCTGGCGGGGGTTCCCCCTTGCCGCTTGGCCTGCGCTTCGCTGTACTCCGCGTGCTCCTCGACGCCCGCCTCTTCCCCGCGTGCTTCCCCGCCCGCTCCTCGGAGTGGCGGCCACTGGTGCGGCCTGTTGCGCCTGGGAGATCGGTGTCATCGGCTCGTCCCGGGCCAGTGGCGCGCCTTGAGCGGAGGCCGATGGACTTCCTCGGTGCTCTGGGCTGTGACCGCGCCGTGGAGGTTGATTGAGAAACAAGTGGATGGCTCCCCGTCCACTTCCTCCCGCACGTCCTGCCGCGAGCGTACCTGTTGCTCCGCCGGCGGCTGCGGACGAGATCCGTCGGCGCTTTGAGGAGCAGCTTCGGGATCTGGGTCTGCTCGGAGGCGGATCCTTGCCTCTGGGGGAGCCTGCGCGTGCGGGGTCCGTCGCGCGCTCCGACGCAGAGGCTGTGGCGCACCGGGAGCATTCGCCTCGCCATCGTTCGCCGGCGGCACGCGACGGTAAGCGGGAGAGCCGCCGCGACGACCGATGCGCTGACTCGCGCCCGCTGCGGTCTCCGCGATCACCGCAGTCTCCTCGGTCGCCTCGGCGCAAGGTGTTGTGGAGCCGTTCCCGTGACCACCGCTCGTATCGCCACCGTTCTCCCGCTCCCCGCTCCTCTCGTCCGCGATCGCCTGCTCGTCATGCGTCTGGATATCGGTCCTTGGCGCCACGTTCTCCCCCTCTTGCGAAACGCCAGCGGCTCTACTCTCCTCGTCGCGCGGAGCGTTCCCCTGACCGCCAGCGTCAGCGGGGCCTGTCTCGCCCACAGTCGCCTGTGCGTTCGAGCGCGAGTGGACGTGCGCATCGTGGGCGACGGGGGGGTTACGGTCGCGGCGGGGCTGCGCGTCCAGCGCCTTCCGCGATGGAGCGAGTCCTGAAGAAATTGGACGGTGTGGAGAAAGCTCTCCACCGCTCCCATGTGGGGTCGTCCTCGCAATCTGCTCCTCCCGCTGCTCCAGTCGCTCCTCTCGCCGCGCTCCTGCCCCATAATCCTGTGGGCTCCCCGGCGTGATCAGTTCGTCCGCTGCCTGCGGGGACTGGCTTTGTTGGCGCGGGTGGCGGGGACCCGTGGGCCCAGTTCGCTCCGCCACGTCCCCTCCCTGCTCCTCGTGATCTGGCAGTGTCGGCTCGCCGATCTCGCGCGTCTGCATTCCCCCCGCAGATGAAGCCAGTGCCCACGGCGACCCTGCGCACTTGTGGTCGTTGGCGGAGTTACTGCAGAGTCTTGAACTGATTCTCCAGGAGTCGCATGGCTCCATGTTGGAGACCCCGCCGAGCACGTTCTCTCAGATGCCGCGAGCAAGGTGTCACGCGGCGGCGTCAGCATTATTCTCGTATGTCTCGCCACTGCAGGTCGCGCCCTCGTCGGGAGTAGTCTCGGCCACCCAGCTGGCTGAGACGGCCCTGGGTCTGAGGACCCTTGTAGCAACTCGTGGAACTCCTGTTGACGTTGTCGGCGCCACCGCGTCAGTGGTCCGCCAGATGTGGCTGACCACGCGCGAAATGCTTGGTGAGCTTGAGGCGGACCGCATGTAGGCGGCCCCCTCGCGCGTGTGTAGACCCGTTCCATGGTAGCTTGTCTAGTTGTCGTTGTCTGCCATGGTTGTCATTTTTGCCGTCATCTAGCCGTCCTTGTTATTGTCCTTGTCGTCCCAAGCGCGCGGCCGCAGGCCGCGCCCGCGAGCGCCGGCGCGAAGCGCCGGAAAAATCAGAGACACCAAATGAAGAATGAGCTGGAGAGAAGGCCAAGGGGCCCTTATATAGCTGGGGAAGAGAGGGGAAGAGCCTAGGAGGGAAGAGACTAAGTCCCTTGCTTCTCTCTCTCTCGCTCTCTCGAACGAAACGAAACGGAAAAATCAGAGACACCAAATGAAGAATGAGCTGGAGAGAAGGCCAAGGGGCCCTTATATAGCTGGGGAAGAGAGGGGAAGAGCCTAGGAGGGAAGAGACTAAGTCCCTTGCTTCTCTCTCTCTCTCTCTCTCTCTCTCTCTCTCTCTCTCTCTCTCTCTCTCTCTCTCTCTCTCTCCCCTTCTCTTTTCTGCTCTCTATCTTTCTGCCTGGCAGGTAACGGTGGGAGGGCCAGCAGCTGAGAATGAGATGTGTGTGGCATACCTTGTTTACTACACCGCAACGCAGGGCCGAGGTAACAGATGACACAGAGCAACTTTTGAGAATTCTCCGACAAGATTGACACAGAGCAAGGCAGGGTGGTTGTGTACCTTCTTTTAGCATCGCACCCAAAATCCACACTCTCCTTGCTACGGCCTACTCGTTTAGCAGTTTTCCCAAGCACCACAGTCCCCCTCATAACGCCACACACGCTCTCTCCCTCATAACACCACACACGCTCTCCCTCATAGCACACCACCCACTCTCCCTCATAACACCACACACTCTCACTCCCTCATAACGCCACACCACTCACTTCCTGCATCCCACCCGCCCCAACCCTTCTCCCACTTCCCTCCTGTTTCCTCCCTCCCCCATGCCTGCTCTCCCCCATGCCCCTTGTTTCCTCACTAGAGATCCATGCATGCTAGACGGTGTGTGGGGCGATGGACAACAACACCCTCTTTCTACACCCCAGCCTCACCAACCCGTCTTCTTCCCCTTGCCCTCTGGTTCCTCCTTCCCTTCCACCCAACCCCCTGACACCAGACATGCATGCATGCTACACAGTGTGTGGGGCGATGGACAGCGGCACACTCTCTCTAGACCCCAGTCGCCGAGACCTCTCCACACATTACGTCTGTGGGCGGGGGCACAGCCCGATTATTCCCACCAACAAGCCGTGCGCCGCCAGCTTTGGGAGGAACAGTCCTGTCACCGTCCTCCATGGCTGCCCCACTCAGTGAGTGCAAGCCACTGCACCCCACTCCACCGCACTCCACACCACAGCACTCTACTAACAAGCCTTCGGTCACCAGCTATGGAAGCAACAACACTGTCACTGTCCTCCATGCCTATCCCACTGAATCACTGAATGAGCGCCGATGGACAGTGACACACACTCACTAGTGACTCCAGCCGCCTAGACCTCTCCAACACACTACGTGGACCCTCGCACGACCCCTACATCCCCACTAATAAGCCCTGCGTCATCAGCTACATGCAACGACAATGTCACAGTCCTCTATGGCTGCCCCGACCAGTGATTGCAAACCAGTCCACCGCATTCCACCACTCTAATTCCCACCACACTAAGCCCTTCATCATCAGCTTTAGCTGCTACGATCCTACCACAGTGCTCCATGGCTGTCTCGATCAGTGAGTGTAAACCCACATCAGGACCAAGTTTTCGCCCTCAATCGTTCCACTCAATCACAATCTAACACCGCTCCAACCCGGCGTTCTCTCCCCCTCATATCCCTCCTCAACATGCTCCCCCCTATCCCTCCACCCCACCCGCAACCCACATCAGGACCAAAATCTCCCTCTCAACCATTCCGATTGATCACATATCAGCACCACTCCAACTCTCCTCGTCTGCCCCTGCCACTGCCGCGCCTTCAAATGCGAATACCAATGATGCTGCTCCCGCCGCCAGTACCAATGCTCTTGCTTCCCCTGCCAATACCACTGCAAAGGCTGCCCCAGCAGCAGCAGCAGCAGCAGCAGCAGCTGGCAGTTCTGTCACATTGATGCTTCTGCTTTGCTCCTTCATTGCCCCCTTTGTTTTCTAGTGGTTGCTGATGGGAGAACTTACATGTTGTACATTGTTTTACAAGAGCTTTTCCATGGATGCACTTGTATAAGTACCAGAACTGTAACATGTGCTCTCTGCTTGGGACACAGACCCAAGCCCAGCCATTCTATTCTGCTGTTTCTGGATTACACACAGTAACAGTGCATGTTCGGTGCTCGGAAATGTACCATTATCGGGTCCCCACTGGATTAGCCTTTTCCGTACTAGATTGTTGTTAGCCCTCGTCTGTATAGGAATTTTCAATTTGCTAACCGAGTTTACGTTATGACGAGTACAACTGCAACTCTTCGCAAGACCAGGTTCCAGGGCTCTAGATTGGCTTTAGGGCGCCCTTCCAAGTAAGTAACATTACCGAGGGCAGCACAGCGCAGGAGCAAGTGTACGCTCAGGTTCAGAACCAGAGGGCAGTGACTGTTAGAATATGGAAACAGGAATGATTGACTAAAGCAGGATGAGTGGTATAAGTAGCAACCCTAACAAAGGGTTGTACCCCATAGGGAGTAACCCACTACAGCCTAACATCACTAACATGATATAAACATGTTTTGACACACCCCCATAGGCAAAGTGGGGGGCAACAAGGGGTCACAAGACCAGTCAAGAGAAGAAGCAAAGCAAAACAAAGCTCAGGGTGGATCTCAAGATCACCACGCATTCTGAGCACAAGCAAGCGGCCACAAGGCCAGTTCACATGCAGAGTTTAGAAAAGCAATTGCCATACACTGATCACAACCTAGCAAGTGTAAACATGCAGGTATAATCATATTGATCAGAGCACAACAAGTGCAAGGCAAGATCAAGAGACAAGTAGGTAAGGCAGAGTGGGCACAAGCCCAAGAGCAGTGCAGAGACGCTGATGATCACTAGACCCAAGGGCCTTGGTGAAGACATCAGCAGTGTTGGCCTGTGTGGCCACGTAAGCAAGACGAAGCTGACCACGCTGCTGCAGCTCTCGCGTAAGGAAGTAACGGAGAGCAATGTGCTTTGTTCTGTGCTCAAGAACTGGAGGAGAATGAGGCTGCTCACCCAAGCCGGTCAGCAGGTAGGTCAGCCAGCGGAGTTCCTGTGCAGCCATAGCCCCATCGTAGATCTCGGCCTCATAGCTGGAACTAAGTACATAAGAAGAGCGAGTGGACCTCCACAAGACAGAACCAGTGCCGGGGCTGAAACTGTACCCCTGTGTCGACCGGTGAGTTGTCTGGTTGTCAGCCCAAGAAGCGTCCGAGTGACCGGTGAGAACAACTGGACCCGGTCCTCCAAGCACGAGCCCCATGCCCGATGTGCTGCACAAGTAACGCAATACCCTCTTCGCAGCATCCCAGTGCATCTTTCGATGTCTACCGGGAGCCACGTTGCGAGCCAGGAGGCTGAGAGGGTACGCGAGGTCAGGTCGTGTGCACGTCATGAGGCAACCAACAAGCTCTGGTTACGGACCACTCGGCTCTACAGACTCGTCCGAAGGTGGAGCTGAGAGCGAGTGGCCGGTAGACAGAGGAGTGGGCTGTGGAGAGGACCACGTGAAGTCGAAGCGCTGAAGGACCTGGTGCACCATGTGTGACTGAGTCAGGGTGATGGTGCACCGTGCTCTGTCCCGAGTGATCTGCAAGCCAAGATAGCTGCGCAGCTCACCGAGGTCAGTGCAAGTGTGTCTCTCCTGCAACTCCGCCTTCACCAAGGCCAGAGCCTCAGTGTCAGCAGTAGCGAAAACCAAGTCGTCAAATGTACACAAGAACGTAGAACGGTGGCAGAGAAGTGTCTGTGCGCAGAAACAGCGAAGGGTCAACAGTCGAGGGAGCCAAGCCAAGAGCCGCAAGTGTAGTCCTCAGTGTGTCGTGCCACTCGCGGGGTGCCTGTCGGAGGCCGTAGACTGGTCGCCGAAGATTCCACTGGGTACCCTCAGGAAACGACCTAGTGAAGCCACGTTGACGGCGCAACCAGATAGCCTCGTGAAGGCTACCCTGCAAGAAGGCTATCGAGAAGTCGAGGGAGTGCAGCTCCTAGTCGCGCTGTGCTGCAACGTGCAGTAGCACCCGAAGAGTGGTCATCTTCGGGGTGGGGGAGAAGGTCTGAAAGAAGTCGACCCCCTCATGCTGACTGAAGCCTTGAGCAACGTAACGCGCCTTGAAGGCAGGCGGAGAACCCGGCAGCCGCTTCACCCTGAAAATCCACATGACATCGACTATGTTCGTCCCAGGTGGGGGAACCTCGTCGACGTAGGTGCCTTTGGACTTCCAGGAAGCCATCTCTGCGTCCATGGCTATCTGCCACTGAGAGGAGCACGGACCCGTGATCGCCTCTGCGTAAGTGCATGGGGTCGGGATGTCCAGTGCATCCGGGTCTCCCTCAGGGCAAAGTAGCTTGGACGCGAGATGCGGTGCAGCGGCCGCGAGGCACTCCAGCTCAAACTTCCCGTCCTCAAGGACGTCACAGCCAAGGGCAAGTTCACCCCCGACGGACGGAGGATAGGAAGAGTAAAAAACAAGACCCGAAGTGTAGTCAAGGCGGCACAAAGCAGCAAAGTCAACAAGATCAGTAACTAAGGCAAACGCAGCAGCAGACTCAAAGGAAGGGTAAGTCACAACTGTGGCAAGGAGACGAGTGACAGTCGGACTGGCAGCACGGGCAAGGTCAAACTCAGGGTCAAGAACATGCGGAAGAGAGGACGCGGGAGGCGACGGCACGACAACACGCTGTGGAACAGAGGAAGGACGGAGTGTCATATCGTGAGTGCACTGTACAGCCGGAGCACGAGGACGACGAACACGACAAACACGAGCAGGGACTGAAGCTCTAGTCTCAGACTCTCGACGCTCAGGAGTGGAAGCACGAGTCTCAGGCTCACAACGCGCAATCAGGGATGCAGTCACCTCAGTGTGAGGAGCAGGAGCAGGCAGCGGGGAGCCAGGCAGTAGCTGTGGCTGAGACTGGTCAGTTGGTGGGAACAATAACGAGGGAGTAGTGCCAGGAACCGGGAACTCAGAAGCAGCAGGCGGGAGACTGAGAAGGCGACGAAGTGCAGATGGCTGCGGCTGAGTAGTCGCACCCCCACAACCTCCAGCTCTAGTAGCAACAGCACCCCCAGAACCAGTGCCTCCAGCTCCACCACCTGGACTGCCCCTACGAACAGCCCACTTGCGAAGCTGCAGCGGCAAGAGCGACTCCTGCCGACGAGCACCACTAACTCCATTACCTCCAGCAGTACCTCGAGTAGCACCTCCAGCCTCTCCAGCAGTACCTGCACCTCCAGCCCCTCCAGCAGCTCCTGTGCCTTCATTACCAGGAACACCAGCACTAGCACCTCCTGGGCTAGCACCTCTAGAACCTCCAGCACCTCCAGCAGCTCCTGTGCCTCCAGTACCAGGAACCCTAGCACCAGCACCTCTAGGGCTAGCACCTCTAGAATCTGCACCTCCAGCACCTCCAGCAGCACCTGTGCCTCCAGTACCAGCAGCTCCACCACGTCCAGCGCCACCACCAAGACTGCCCGCAGCAGTACCCACAGCAGCAGCACCTCCAATACCTCCAGCTCTAGGAGAGCGAGCACGGCTAGCTCCACCACCAGGGCTGCCCCACTGTACAGCCCACTCGCGAAGCCGCTCCGGCGAGAGAGTCTCCTGCCGACGTGCACCAGTGCAACCAGCACGAGCAACCCCAGTACCACCACTAGCAGACCCTCCAGCTCCAGCAGTGCCAGTACCTCCAACTCCAGCAGTCCCAGCACCTCCCGCTCTAAGACGGCTAGCTCCACCACCAGGGCTGCCCCACTGGACAGCCCACTCGCGAAGCCGCTCCGGCAAGAGAGCCTCCTGCCGAATCATAGCGGGACCACCAGCACCAGTACCTCCAGTACCTCATCTACCCAAAGGACACTCAGCACCCCCAGAACCAGCACCTCCAGTGGTACCACCTCCTGCAGCACCAGAGTCCACAGCGACAGGCTGCAAGGCGGTGAAGACGGTCGAGGCTGAAAGACGAAGCTGACCACGCTGCTGCAGCTCTCGCGTGAGGAAGTAACGGAGAGCAATGTGCTTTGTTCTGTGCTCAAGAACTGGAGGAGAATGAGGCTGCTCACCCAAGCCGGTCAGCAGGTAGGTCAGCCAGCGGAGCTCCTGTGCAGCCATAGCCCCATCGTAGATCTCGGCCTCATAGCTGGAACGAAGTACAGAAGAAGAGCGAGTGGACCTCCACGAGACAGAACCAGTTCCGGGGCTGAAACTGTACCCCTGTGTCGACCGGTGAGTCGTCTGGTTGTCAGCCCAAGAAGCGTCTGAGTGACCGGTGAGAACAACTGGACCCGGTCCTCCAAGCACGAGCCCCATGCCCGATGTGCTGCACAAGTAACACAATACCCTCTTCGCAGCATCCCAGTGCATCTTTCGATGTCTACCGGGAGCCACGTAGCGAGCCAGGAGGCTGAGACGGTACGCAAGGTTAGGTCGTGTGCACGTCATGAGGCAACCAACAAGCTCTGGTTATGGACCACTCGGCTCTACAGACCCGTCCGAAGGTGGAGCTGAGAGCGAGTGGCCGGTAGACAGAGGAGTGGGCTGTGGCGAGGACCACGTGAAGTCGAAGCGCTGAAGGACCTGGTGCACCATGTGCGACTGAGTCAGGGTGATGGTGCACCGTGCTATGTCCCGAGTGATTTGCAAGCCAAGATAGCTGCACAGCTCACCGAGGTCAGTGCAAGTGTGTCTCTCCTGCAACCTCCCGCTCTAAGACGACTAGCTCCACCACCAGGGATGCCCCACTGGACAGCCCACTCGCGAAGCTGCTCCGGCAAGAGAGCCTCCTGCCGAATCTTAGCGGGACCACCAGCACCAGTACCTCCAGTACCTCATGTACCCAGAGGACAATCAGCACCCCCAGAACCAGCACCTCCAGTGGTACCACCTCCTGCAGCACCAGAGTCCGCATCGACAGGCTGCAGCGGCGGTGAAGACGGTCGAGGCTGAAACCTAGGAGGGACCGCCAAGCGTGCAGAGCGGCGAGGGGTCACAGTGGCAGCAGGAGTCGGGTCACCCCCCTCAGCTGGGCCAGAGGTGTTTGAGGAGACCTCCAAAGGCTCAACCAAGGGGGGTGGGTCTATCTGAGACACACCTGAGGGAGCGGGACCGGGAGGAGGGAGGGGGGCTACTGGGGAGGGGTCGTCCACGAGGGAGAGAGGCAAGAGGGGTACCGGGGAACTGCGGTGGGGGTGAAGACGGTAGAAGTAGACGGACTCGTCAAAGGTGACATCGTAGGAGGACAGCACACGACGAGAGCCCGGGTGGTAAAACTGCCAGGGCGGTGCGTTGGTGGGAAATCCAAGGAACACGCACCGAAGAGTGCGTGGAGAGAGCTTGCCCGCAGGCAAATCGCGGACAAGAGAGAGGGAACCCCAGATCCGAAACGCCGACGCATCACCAACCTCGCCCGTCCACCGCAAAGTGGGGAAGGTCTCCGGGTGGGAGACACGGGGCCACAGGTTGAGCTGCCCAGCGGCGTATCGGACCGCAAACGGCCACAGAAAACGGGGAGCAGCCGCATGGAACACGGAGGTGCGAGCAACCTCCATGACAAGACCAATGCGACACTCAGCAATCCCATTCTGTTGTGGAGAGGCCGGAAGCATGTACGGCTGGACGATGCCCTCAGCACCACAGAAGTCCTCAAGGAGGTGGGAGCAAAACTCACCACCTCGGTCAGAGTGCAGCTGCAAGACAGGGAGGTCCTGCTGGAACCGAGCGCAAAGCTGGAGACGGACAGCGCGGATCCAGCGGATCAAGATACCGCGGACATCCGCCTTGCTCTACAAGGGGAAGACCGTGGTGTAGCGCGTATAGTCGTCGACAACCAGCAGAAAGTAGCGCTCGCCACCCTGTCCAGTGACGCGGGCGGGGCCCCACACGTCCATGTGCAGGGTCTGCAGAGGAGCAGTGGTAGGAGGAAACGAGGACGAGTGGCGCGCTGCCGCCCCTCGACGCAGGGAAGGCAGGGCGGTGCAAGCGACCTCGGGAGCGGGGGCAGGGACCTGGGGAGACCAGACACAAGGAGACGGGAGAGCATGCCACGCAGGCGTGGCAAGGAGGGGTGGCCAAGACGGTTGTGCCAGAGGAGAGTTTGGTGCGTGAGGAGACGACACGAACAAGACGAAGCGACCTCAACCGACGTAGCTACCTGACCTGACTCAGCTACCAGTGCAGACTCAGTGGTCAGTGTATACAGGCCAGACCCAGGCCTCCGAGTGAACGTGGCAAGGTGCTCACCAGTGCGCGAGTCCATACAGATCGCCACTAGCTCGCCTCCAGGCTGGGTGACAGTGACCCACTGGTCCTGGAGGACAGAGGTAGCCACCAAGTTCTTAGCGAACGAGGGGAGGTGGAGACCTGTGAGGAGGCCCGAAGGGGCCGCCGGACAAGGGAGAATAGTGGCGCCACGCGCGACTACCGGGCCCCCAGAGGGGTCAGCCAGTGTGACAGGGACAGGGACTGTGAGCGGTGTGATTGTGGTGCTGTCGCAGAAAAAGCAACGAGACTTCCTGAGTCGAGAGTAAAAGTGTGCAAGGCCTCCTCAGGCTCGGCACCTGTGCTAGCTAAGTCAACAGCACCAAGACTAGCAGCCTCTACGCCACCAGGTGCCTCTCCACCCCCAGCACTAGTACCCCAAGCTCCGCCACCGGGGCTGCCCCACCGGACAGCCCACTCACGAAGCTGCTGCGAGGAGAGAGTCTCCGACGGACACTGCTGCCGCTGCTGTCCACCCCCAGAACCTCCGCGTCTACTAGCGGCACTACCAGCAGGAGTAGACTCATGAAGACCTCCAGTAGTAGCACACCAGGCTCCGCTACCGGTGCTGCCCCACCGGACAGCCCTCTTGCAAAGCTGCTGCGACGAGAGCGGCTCCCGCCGACGAGTACGAGGACCGCCAGCACCAGCACCTCCAGCCCTAGCACGGCTAGTTCCGCCACCGAGGATGCCCCACCAGATAGCCCACTCGCGAATCTGCTGCGGCGAGAGAGACTCCTGCACACTCGGCTGCCGCTGACGTAAGACAGTGGTAGTGGCCATGGCAGGCAGTGGCAGCTAATAGCAGCAGCTGCGTAGCAGCAGTAGCATAGGCGGCAGTAGCAGCGTAGCAGCACTCGGGGCAAGGCGGCACCAGCGCGAGGTAGGGCAGCGCGGGGCAGCGCACTCGGGTGGCAGCAGCACCTAGGGCGGCAGCAGCAGGCGGTAGCACCTAGGGCGGCAGCAGCAGGCGGCAGCACCTAGGGCAGTAGCAGGCAGTAGCTCCTAGGGCAGCAGCACCTAGGGCTATATATATATATATATATATATACATATTTTAGGGTTTAGCAGGGCGCGCTGGGCGCTGGGCAGCAGGGCGCGCTGGCGCGTTGGGCAGCGGGGCGCGCTGGCGCACTGGGCAGCGGGGCGCGCTGGCGCGCTGGGCAGCGGGGCGCGCTGGCGCGCTGGGCAGCGGGGCACGCTGGCGTGCTGGTCAGCGGGGCGCGCTGGCACGTCTGGCAGCGGGGCGCGCTGGCGCATTGGGCAGCGGGGCGCGCTGGCGTGCTGGGCAGCGGGGCGCGCTGGCGCGTTGGGCAGCAGGGCGCGCTGGCGCGTTGGACAGCAGGGCGCGCTGGCGCGTTGGAGAGCGGGGCGCGTTGGCGCGCTGGGCAGCGGGGCGCGCTGGCGTGCTGGGCAGCAGGGCGCGCTGGCAGAGCGCGTGGGCAGGCAGGGTGGCGCAGCTGCATGCAAAGCGCGCGCGAATAGGGCGGCGCTCAGGCAGGGCAGCAGGGCGCTCAGTAGCAGGGCAGCTGGGCGCGCGAGGGCAGGGCAGTAAGGCGCGCGCTGGCGCTAGGCAGCAGGGCAGGAAAAAAAGTTTCAAGTCCGGGCAGGGCGGAACGTTCGGTGGGCCCTAAGGAACGTACCTGCTCTGATACCATGTTAGAATATGGAAACAATAATGATTGACTAAAGCAGGATGAGTGGTACAAGTAGCAACCCTAACAAAGGGTTGTACCCTATAGGGAGTAACCCACTACAGCCTAACATCACTAACATGATATAAACATGTTTTGACAGCGCCTGCCCGTGCAGCAGATGGTGTCTTAAGCAGCGACAAGGGGCGTGGAGTGGCAAGGCATGGCGCCTGGCGTTCGAGCATGCAGTGCAGCAGGCGGGGCAGCACCAGGTACCTGTGGTGTGGTGGGTCACTTGCGACCACTGGTCGGTGGTGGTGGTGTTCTCGTTGGCCGTTGCCTGCTGATTTTTTTTTCTAAAAGCATTTCATGTTTAGAACTTCTTGCTGGGATTTGTGTGAGGGGGGATGGGCAGTGGATGTGGGTGGGGTGGGGGTTGTTGAGGCTGTGGGTGCGTATATTTGTGAGGGGTTGAGCTGGTGGCCTGGAAATGGCCAATGGAGCAATTGAGCAATGGCCAGGAGTATTGCTCTTATGCATGGAAGGAAGGATGGTGGATCGATGCACAGGACTGGTTTGATTCGTGTAATGGGGATCTCATAATAGTAATCTTAATGTTGCAGCAAACTATGCTTATCAACAAAACAGCAATCACAAAGCACCACCAAGAATCAGCTACTACCGTAACGCGGGCTACGTTCCTACCTCGCATCAACCACCGCATGTGGGACTTAATAAACACAGTCACTGACGCAGGGTGACTTGATACGAGGCAGGAACGCACCCTAAGGCATGCCAGCAAATTTCCCTTCATCATGTGACAACATGCAACCCTAATCCGCCTCCCACGTGCCCGACTTGCAGTGCCGTCACACGTAGGAGACAGTGAGTGGGGCGGTGATGGGAGTAGGGCTATGCTGCTTGCACTGCTGCCAGGGATGAGTAGTCGTATTGCTCTGGCGTGGGGAGACGTGGTGAGGGGTTTTGGGGGGAAGGGGAAGGATGAGCAGACGAGGAGAGAGAGAGGAGAGGAGAAGAGAGCAGAGCAGAGCAGAGCAGAGGAGAGGAGGGCAGAGAGAGCAGAGGGGAGGACAAGAGAGTAGAGGGGAAGAAACGAGGTAAGGTTCAGGGGTAAAGAAAGCAGCACATGGGTGACAAGCTACCGTTTGGAAACGCTCACAGCTCTTGCCACTCACACCCCTCGCCACTCCAATCCCCCCCTACTCACTGGTGGCCTGGGTGCAGGAAGCAGAGCCGAGGATGCCCCAGTCAGAGGAGGAGACGCAGCCCTTGAGGCACGCCACGGTGTAGGGCGCGGTGCTGCTGGCGTGGTAGTGGTAGAACGCCGGCTCGCCCGCACTGCCGTCTCCCACGTGCCCCCCGCACTCGTCCACCCCCGAGGGCAGCTCTCCCCCTGCTCCGCGCGGGCCGTAGAGGGGAATGCCGTCCGCCAGGAAGCCCACCAGTGGGGAGTGCTCGCCCGGGGTGTCCTGCCAGAAGGAGGCGCTGCGATGGGTGCGGAAAGGGAAGAGGGAAGAAGGGGTGGGTTGGGTGGGTGGGATGCAAGGGATGCTGCATGGCACATGGTATAACTTGGTGCGTGGCATGGTGCATGAGGAGAATGCATGGAGATGGCATGGTTTTGCATGGCATGGGGCAGTGCGGGATGACAGAAACGTTCGCTCGAAGCACTGTTCAGCATGGAAGAAGGAGTGGAGGGAGTAGCAAGTGAGTTGCAGTGAGGAAATGTGCAGAATAACTGGCAGCAGTGTCCGACTGGCAGAGGGGCAGGCATGGACGCATGGAGGCATGGAGTGGAGGCATGGAGTGGTACGGGAGCAGGCATGGAGTGGAGGCATGGACTGGTACGGGAGCAGGCATGAGGATTAACGCACGAGCAGAGCTGGAAGTCGGTGGTGCGAGAGGTGGAGATGGCAGAGGGGTTGGCCACGCCAGGCGCGACGTGGTAGTGGTACTGGCCGAAGGGAGACGGGTGCCCCCCACACGTGTCGAAACTCGGCCCCTCATACTTCAACGCGTCCCGCCCCTGCGCGTCGCATGCACTGCGGGCAGGAGGGCAGGACAGGAGGACAGGCAGGGTGGGATAGGGGGATGTAGCGTGAGTGATGGGGGCACAGACACTGACAGAAAAATCCAGCAGAGGCCAGCTGGCACGAGGATGGGACAGAGGAGTGGATACTGGAAGGGAATGGCAATGACGAGCACAGGCCCAAGTGCCAGAGACAGCCCACCATCACCCCCTCACTCTCACTCTCCCTACCCCCTCTCCCCTGCCCCTCCCCCTGTTGCCCACCTGTAGAAGGGCACGCCGTTGAGGGCAAAGCCGATGGGCCCCATCTTGCAGCCGCCCACGGAGACAGGAATGGCAGAGGAGGCGAGCGTGGGGGCGAGCGGCACAGACAAGGAGAGAGTCTGCTGCACTGGCGTGTTCACCGTGCCCTGCACTCGCCACTCGTACCCCGGACACCCGTTGCTTGCCATCACCCTGCCACGGGGATTAGGCAATGGGGCCGGAGGAACAAAGGGGGAGCAGCGCAGGGGGGAGACGGAAGGACAGGCACGAAGGGAAGTGATGAGTATGCCTTGAGTGTGCATGAAGCGGTTATGGGGCTAGGAGGGAAGGAGCATGGCAGGCAGAGGGACTCGCCGCACCTCTTGCCGTTGCTGCTCGTGAGCTTGGCGCTCCTGCTGCTGCTGCTGTTGCCACACGTACTCCCACCCGATGACCCGCCACCCATCCCCCCTCCGCCCATGCCCCCTCCGCCCATGCCTCCTCCGCCCATGCCCCCTCCGCCCATGCCTCCTCCGCCCATGCCCCCTCCGCCCATGCCTCCTCCGCCCATGCCCCCTCCGCCCATGCCTCCCCCGCCCATGCCCCCTCCGCCCATGCCTCCCCCGCCCATGCCCCCTCCGCCCATGCCCCCTCCGCCCATGCCTCCCCCGCCCATGCCCCCTCCGCCCATGCCTCCCCCGCCCATGCCCCCTCCGCCCATGCCCCCTCCGCCCATGCCTCCTCCGTCCATGCCTCCTCCGCCCATGCCTCCTCCCCCCGTGCCAGGTCCGCCCATGCCTCCTCCGCCCATGCCTCCTCCGCCCATGCCTCCTCCGCCCATGCCTCCCCCGCCCATGCCTCCTCCGCCCAATCCTCCTCCGCCCATGGCTCTTCCGCCCATGGCTCCTCCGCCCATGTCTCCTCCGCCCGTACTACTCGGTTGTCCGCTCATTCCGCCATCTCCTTGCGAGCCAAACCCGCTCTGCCCGCTCTGCCCGCCACTCGTCGCGCCACTTCCCCCGGCGCCGCTGGTCCCAGGGGGGCGGAAGTAGGACCAGATGCCGCCTGTCCCCGACCCTCCCACCAAGCCGCCGAGCCTTCCCCCGAAACGCGGAAGGCCGAACGAGCGCGCATTGCACGCGGCGTGATCGATGCGCGCAAAGCAGAGGAGCGCGACGAGCGCGAAGGCGGGGACGAGGCGTGACGAGGCGCGACGAGGTGCCATCATGGAGGGCGGCGCGTAACGTTGAAATATTAGCGTGTAACTAGAAATAGTTCAGCGGCGTGTCGAGGATGCGACGGAAACACCTGAGGGCGCGAGTCGAATGCGAAGTGGAGATGCGAGTGGGAGTGGCGAAGAGGGAAACGAGTCACAGACTTCGGTGGACGCAAAATGCGGCGACGGCGACGGCGGTTCGAGTGGGAGCCGATGAGGCAATTCTGTTGGGATGGCCGAGGAGGTTCGACCGCCGCGGCGTGGAAAGGTGTCTGAGGCAAGCGCTGCACTGGGTAATGCGTCGTGCGAGCTCGCTATTTGTACTTCGGCTGCCATCGCCTTTGCTGCCATTGGGAGAAATCTTTGTTTGACTATCGGACGGCGAGGAGGATCTGGGGGTCAACGCGAATCCAGTCAATGTAGAGGGGGTCGGAAGGTGGAGGAGAAAATATTGGAAAGTCGGCGCGGCACTGTTGACTGTCGCTTGGGGGTGAGCGAGTCAGCGTCGTGGTCAAAGTGCTTGTAGTGAATTACAATGCAGAATAAAGTAGAACGCTGAGAAAAGTATTAGCTCAGCTTGATGCCACACCCTTTGTCTGGTTTTCTATGACAGACATCAAATCATATCCGAGTTCGGCATGGAAATCTAATAACATCTGAAATTCATATTGAAGTCATAATCCCTTGATTTTTTTATGCTATAAATTGCTAAAATAAAGGCATATTATCGGGGGGAGTGAAGTAACACCCTGCACTATATTCTGTCTGGCCTACCACTTCTGTATTTGTTACTTCTACACAGTTATGCCCAGCACTTTATTAGACTTTCACATGCATAGCAGTGTTGGGCTGAGAAAAAGCCCTTAGGATCTTTGCAGGACTAAATTCTGAGTAGGATGATGTAATAGCGGAAGCGTTAAATAAAAGACTGGTGAACCACCTTGTGCTAGTATGTGAGGGCAAAGTAGATTGATTAATGTCAGATTTATATGATAGAGCTACTGTAGGCTATAGTGGGGTAGCACATATGGGGTACAGTTTTCTAGGGTTTGTATTTGTACCCAACTTTCCCTTAGTCATTCCCATTCCTGTTTTCTTAATTCACATGGTATAGAGCGGGTTCCTACATGGGACCGTTCATTCCTAAGGGCCCACCATAACAATTTTTTTTTTTTTAGCTGCCCGACGCGCATTGCGCCCCTGCCCTATTTTTTTTTTTTTTTAGCGGCCCCCCCCCTAGCGGCCCCTACGCGACCCCTACGCGGCCCCTACGCGGCCCCTACGCGGCCCCTACGCGGCCCCTACGTCGCCCCTGACGCGACCCCTACGCGGCCTCTGACGCGGCCCCAACGCGGCCCCTGACGTGGCCCCTACGCGGCCCCTGACGCGGCCCCAACGCGGCCCCTGACGCGGCCCCAACGCGGCCCCTGACGCGGCCCCAACGCAGCCCCTGACGCGGCCCCTGCCGCGGCCCCTGACGCGGCCCCTACGCGGCCCCTACGCTGCCCCTGAGGCGGCCCCTGATGCGGCCCCTGACGCGGCCCCTCCGCCGCCACTACCGCGGCCCCTACGCCGCCCCTGACGCCGCCCCTGACGCGGCCCCTGCCGCGGCCCCTGACGAGGCCCCTGACGCGGCCCCTGACGCGGCCCCTGCCGCGGCCCCTGACGAGGCCCCTGACGCGGCCCCTGACGCGGCCCCTGCCGCGGCCCCTGCCGCGGCCCCTGACGCGGCCCCTGACGCGGCCCCTGCCGCGGCCCCTGCCGCGGCCCCTGCCGCGGCCCCTGACGCGGCCCCTGACGCGGCCCCTTCGCCGCCCCTGCCGCGGCCCCTACGCCGCCCCTGACCCGGCCCTCTCCTGCACCTGACGCGGCCCCTAGCGGCCGGCCGCTGCCGTCCCTGAGGCAGCAGCCGCCGCCGTCTCTGCAGCAGCAGTCGCAGCCGAACAGCCGAGCCGCCGAGCCGCCGAGCCGCCCAGCAGCCGAGCCGCCCAGCCGCCGAACCGCCCAGCAGCCGAGCCGCCCAGCAGCCGAGCCACCGAGCCGCCCAGCAGCCGAGCCGCCGAGCCGCCCAGCAACCGAGCCGCCGAGCCGCCGAGCCGCCCAGCAGCCGAGCCGCCGAGCCGCCCTGCAGCCGAGCCACCCGAGCCGCCCTGTCCGGTAAGAGCAGCGCCCCTTTCACAGCACTGCCCTCACCCTACTGTTTGCGCTGCTAGTCTACTACTGTCATGGCTACCCCTAGTGTCCTCGCTTTTGACGCCGAGGGTCGGGCCATTGACTTTGATGTCTGGATAGATGACCTGCAGCTTTTCTTACAGTGCGACAGGGCAGACGGCCTCTCCCTCTTTGACCTCACTTCTGGTGCCTCTCCTGCCCCCGCTGCTGATGCTAACGCCACTGTTCGCTCACAGTGGGCCACGCGCGATGCTGCTGCACGTCTTGCTGTGCGTCGCCACCTGCCTACCTCTGAGCGTGCGCACTTTAGCCAGTACAAGAGTGCTCAGACCTTGTACGACGCTGTAGTTGCGCGCTACTCCTCCCCTGCCACTGCTGCACTAAGCCGCCTCATGCTACCGTACCTCTTCCCTGACCTTGCTGCCTTTCCCACAGTCGCTGACCTCATTACGCACCTCCGCACTAGTGACACTCGCTACCGCGCTGCGCTTCCTGCTGAGTTCTGCGCCAAGAACCCCCCCCCCATGTACATCACCCTCTACTACATAGTCACCCGGCTCCCTGACTCCCTTCGCGTAGTCAGGGACCACTTCCTCTCAGTTTGCCCCACCACTCTCACCGTTGACCTCCTCGAGAAGTCCCTCCTAGCAGTAGAGAAGAGCATAGTCGCTGTAGGAGCCTCTCGTGGTGACCCTCGCACCCCCATCTTTGAGGGGTGTTCCCCCTCCCCCCTTTTGCCCTCTGTTGCCTCTGCTGCTGCGGCCGACCTCGTTGGGCTTGAGTCGGTCGGTGCGGCGTCTACCCCTAGCGGGAGACGTCGCCCTGGCAAGGGCAAGGGGGGCAGGGGCACTGGAGGAGCTAGCGGGGGCGGTGGAGGCGGAGGTGGAGGCGGTGGAGGGGGTGGGGGTGGCGGTGGGGGTGGTGGCGGGGGTGGAGGTGTCGGTGGCGGCAGTGGAGGCGGAGGCGGAGGCGGCGGTGGCGGTGGGAGCGGAGGTGGCGGCGGTGGAGGAGGAGGCGGCGGAGGAGGTGGAGCTGGTCGGGGTGGCGCTGCGCAGAGGGTCGGCTCCGGTGGTGGTCAGCGCCAGCAGCAGCAGCAGCAGCAGCAGCGCACTCGTGACATCCCCTCCCCTCAGCAGCTCCGTGAGTGGTACACTGCACGCCAGAGGGGTTGGGGTACTGGTCCGTGCACCTACGTCCTCCGCACCGGCGACCGCGCGGGTGACCATTGCGGGGGTGCGCACTCCACCCAGCGCTGCTTTGGCCGCCTGACGGACGCTTGGCGTCACCAGTTCCCTGAGGCCACTGAGATCCCCCGCTGGGGTGAGCTGTCTAGGGCGGGTGTAGCTGTCTTTGACCTTGACTTTGATGCTATTCTTGCTGCCATGTATACTGTGACTATTAGTGATGAGGGTGACTGTTACCGGTGTTTTCCGCCCGACCCGGGCATTGAGACTGCTGCTCTAGGTACTGGTGAGGCTGCTGCTCTAGGTGCTAGCGAGGCTGCTGCTCTAGGTGCGTCTGCTCCCTCAGGTGCTGGTGAGTCTGCTCTCTCAGGTTCTGCGTCGGCTTCGGCCTCCCACACCTTCACCCTTGACTCGGGGGCTTCTCGCTCCTTCTTTCGAGACCGCACCACACTCACGCCGCTTGGCCGGCCAGTTGCAGTCTCTCTGGCAGACCCCTCTAGGGGTCCTGTCCTTGCTCACTTCTCCACTGTCCTCCCGTGTCCGGCGGCCCCCTCTGGCACCCTGTCTGGTCTTTACCTCCCCTCGTTCTCTACGAACTTGGTGAGTGGTGCTGACCTACAGGATGCGGGGGTTCACCAGTTCACTCCTGCGAGTCAGCGGGTGACCCACTGCACGGACGCTCGGACAGGCCGACACCTGGCCACGTTTACACGTCGGCCGGGGTCGAGCCTGTACACACTGACCACTGCGTCTCCTCCGGTCACTGCGTCTGGTCAGGTAGCTGCGTCAGGTCAGGTGTTTGCTGCAGCGTCCAGGTCTGGTCCTGAGTCTGCCCCCTGTTCGTGTCGCCTCCTGTCTCACGACACTCTCCTCTGGCACCACCGCCTTGGTCACCCCTCCCTGCTTCGTCTCCGAGGTATGGCCTCCCGTGTCCTTGTCTCTGGTCTTCCCCGGTCCCTCCCTCCCTTTCCTCCGGGGCCTGGCCCTACCTGCGTCCCCTGTGTCGAGGGGCGGCAGCGGGCTGCCCCTCACTCCTCCCAGTTTCCTCCGACAGAGGCCCCGCTGCAGACGCTTCACATGGACGTGTGGGGCCCGGCCCGCGTCCGTGGACAGGGTCACGAGCGCTACTTCCTGCTGGTGGTTGACGACTACTCGCGTTACACCACAGTCTTCCCCTTGCGCAGCAAGGGTGATGTCACTGAGGTGTTGATCGACTGGATCCGCGCAGCTCGTCTCCAGCTCAAGCAAAGCTTCGGCTCGGACTTTCCTGTTCTGCGTCTGCACTCTGACAGAGGTGGAGAGTTCTCCTCTGGCCTTCTGCGAGCCTACTGTCGTGCACGAGGCATCCGCCAGACCTTCACGCTTCCGGACTCTCCACAGCAAAATGGGATTGCTGAGCGCCGCATTGGCATGGTCATGGACGTCGCCCGTACGTCCATGATGCATGCGGCTGCCCCCCATTTTCTGTGGCCGTTTGCTGTTCGGTACGCGGCGCATCAGATCAACCTTCACCCCAGGGTCTCCATGCCGGAGACCTCCCCAGCCTTGCTGTAGACGGGGAAGGTTGGCGATGCGTCTGCGTTCCGTGTCTGGGGATCTCGGGCGTTTGTCCGCGACTTGTCTGCGGACAAGCTGTCCCCTCGTGCTGCTCCTTGC